TTCTCTCTCTCTCTCTCTCTCTCTCTCTCTCTCTCTCTCTCTCTCTCTCTCTGTCGACGATAACGATGGCTTGATTTTTCAAGGGCGTGATATAGGATACGAGATCGTGGTGCCGAGGAAAGTCGGATCGGATGGAAGGTTCGTGTCGCATCAAATACCTCATCACTTCAAGCGTTCCCTCTACGCCACGGATCCAGGGGGCAGAACGATCGAGGACGATGCTGTTCACTATCGTTTGCGAATAGGCGGGGAGGATCACCATCTCGAGCTACGGCCGAATCCCCACCTCGTTGCCCCAGGCGAGTTGGAAATTAAGATAACGCGCGTGCGCCTGCGCGTTCGTATTTATTTCAGTGGTAGGACAGAAGAAACGAAACGTGAAAATATTTACCTTCTTGGCACGATTCTTCACTTTTCGAGTGTGTGTGTGTGTGGTGTGGACGAAATTTGAATTTTCGAAGTTTCGGATTTTCGTTGTTGATTCCAATCCGTTAAAAGGAGTTAAGGGAAATGAAAATGTTGGTGTTTCATCGTTCGTAGGCGCTGTTATCGAGGAACATCCGAGTGAAAGCAACGATAATTTCTTGAGGGATGCGAAGTTGAAAAAGATGCGCGACTCGCAGTGTCACTATCTGGGTCGCGTGCACGGTCATTCGGGGAACAGCGCCCTCTCGACTTGTTACGGCTTGGTTAGTCAGTTAACCCAACTTTTTTAACCGTTTTAATCGACCAGTCGTTTGAAACCTGATCGAAAAACGAATAAAATCGATCAATTTTACGTATAACAAACGATCAATTAAACGAGTAGCCGGGGAAATTTATGATCGAATTTGGGAGAAAAACTTGGAAAAAAGAAAAATTCTAGTCCGAATAGAAACTCTGAAAAAAAAAAAACAAATGAATCGGGCAGAGATGCAAGGGGGACTAACGGCGTGTTGCGGATAAAGCTTTCAAACGACTCGAACGAAATACTCGTGGCGTAAAGATAAATCTGACTGGAAGGAATCTCGGTGTTCTGATCTCCAGGCCGGATTTATTAGAACGAAACGATCGTGGTACACGATCGAGCCGGTGGCGGGTCACGACTTTACCAAAGAAACGGAGCACCCGCATGTCGTCTACAAAAAGAGGCCGGACGAATTCGGGAGGAACGCCGAGATTCTCTGTAATGTCACCGGCAATATGGCCAAAACCATTGCCAAGCGCGCTTTCAGTTCGCAGAAACGCCACCCACGTAAGAACCAGGCCAACTCGTACACGATGGAACTGTTGCTGGTACTCGACAAGACCGTTCTCGATTATCACAAGGATTTCGACGTCGAGAATTACGCGCTGACGCTGCTCAACATGGTACTAAACTTTGCCCTAGTTTCCCCCTAATTGCCTTCCGTTAAGAGTTAAAAATAGGGGGATCGGGGAAGGCATCTCGCTGTGTTTGGAAAAATAATCCGTTCAAGTATTCGTACAATTAATTGGTAAACGGGGCAAGCATTTCTTTTCTACGTCCAACGAATAAATAAATTTATTTAAAATGTTTCCACTCAACAAATTCAACGTTATTTTTCCTTATTTCTCGTGATAAACACGAATGATGGAAATTATTAATTTTAAGCTCGTTTCAGGCGGCAGCGTTGCTACACGACGTCAGTTTGGGACTGATTATGGAGTTGACCATTGTCAGGATTATAAGAATGCTCGTCCAAGAGAATGAGGTATTGTTATTGATATTAGAACTATTTTTTTTTTAATTTATTCTATTATTATTATTATTAATGAACAATCATATTCGTTGAACACAGATGAGTTTAACTGTAACCAAAGACTCGAACGCTACCCTGAAATATTTCCAACAGTGGCAACGAATGATTAACCCTGGGGACGATACACACCCGAATCACCACGATTGTGCCATTCTGATTACAAAGTACAGCTAGCGATCGAATTAATGTTACGCGAGTCCCAACTTAACCTCGAACGAGGTTGAACCCTCCTCATTCATTTGGCCAGGAGTAACATCTGCGATTCACCTGGCGTGTGTGGTTTCACCGGCACCTCGACGATCGCTGGGACTTGCGACCCTTTGAAAGGCGCTGCCATTATAAACGACGTTGGCCTACACACAGGATACCACATCGCCCACCATCTCGGCCACACGTAAGAGTTTCGTTCTCCTCTTCCGTTTCTTTCCCTCCACTTTTTTCCCCTCCCCTATAATATATAGGACGTCGTAGCTGGAAATGTAGGAAAGAAATGTTAAAAAAAAATATGACGTATAGAGAGATAAGAGGTATCACGAGACGCCACTTCCATTAACGTGAGCTGTAAAATCCAAAGAAACGAAAATAAGAAAAAAGATCGATCCGAAAGGTGTAAATAAATCGTGGATTTTTATGTAGCTAAGAAAAAATAGTTGAAATATAAAGATACGTATAAAATTAATAAATCGAACGAAATTTCGAGGAGAAGCTGAAACGTATTCGAAAAATGTAGAAAATTATATCCTTCAAGTTGCTTTTTGTTTTATCACGATATCACACGATCGGTTGCCGAGATACGAGGAGTCGAAGTTTCCATTGAGAGACAATGCAGAGATTACGAATCGAGCCCAGTGACGTGCATTTTTCCAAGAATTGCGTCTGTCACTTGCCTCGAGTTTGAAATAGATGCGAGCGAGAGTAAGAGACGAGGATGTAGATCGTAAACGCTTAAAAATTACTTTTCTCTTTACACGATGATATCTCGGGAACCGGAAGTCGTATCGAGATAAATCGAAAAGCGTTTTGAAGAGCAAGGTTTCGCGCTTCTAACGATCTTTCGTTTATTAATAAGGAATCGTTATCTTTAGAATTATAGCGGTTTAAATTTTTTCTAATTTTAATT